CAAGATCCTTGTGCAGCACCAACACTGATTCGTGTATCACACACATGTACGGGCAACGCCCTCCCTGCCTAACTGCATTCCGCATCAAAACTTCATCAGACAGGTTCGTTCTCCCTCTTTTGGGATCAACCAAGCGCGATCCACCACAAATCAAAACCACAAACATCCTGTTTCTGCTGAAGAACAAATCAAACACAACCGGTTTTCCACGAAACCCATCTTCAGAAACAAAACGTCAAGCCTCCTTCAAACAAGGCCCGCAATCTGCAAACAGTCAAAAACCTCGATCTTCCTTCAACCAAGAATGCATCAACTTGCGATTGAACCTTCATGAACTANAAGAATGCATCAACTTGCGATTGAACCTTCATGAACTACCCATCAAATATGGTGGCAAATTCTACCAACGTGCACGTTTTCATCCCCCCCCACTTTGCTACCATCACCGACACACCCGTCACCGATATGACCCCTCGATACAACAAAAAATGGTCAAGAAGCGCAAAGCGTACATCACGATGTATAACGACAACACGTATACGTGAGAATTACCACTAGATTCGGCAACCAAAAAAAATTACCATTAAAAGAAACGACAAAAAAAAACGAAACAAGATCAAGAACGCTTTCGGGTTTCATCGACACCCGTAAACTGGCGTCGAAAAAAAGAAAAACACAAGAAAAACTTATCAAGCTTGCCCGTCCACTCCACCAGTTCCAATCGTGAAGATGAAGCGCGCCCTCGATCGTCCACAAGTCGATCCTGCCGATCCCGATCTCCATCGTCCCTTCCCGGCTTATGAAATGCGCGCGGCGACTCTCCACGCGACTTTGATGACACCGCCATATCGCTGTGCCCCACCCCAAATGCCCACCTCCGGCTGATGGTTGCGCGCCACCTCCGCGCGACAAAACATGCTGCCCCCCCCCGCTCCAACGACGAGGCAGAACAGCCACGGCCCGTCCGCCCATGCTGGGTTGCGCGCCATCTCCGCGCGACTTCAAGTGCTACCCCCCCGGCTCCAAACGGCAAGGCNTATAAAATGCGCGCGGCGACTCTCCACGCGACTTTGATGACACCGCCATATCGCTGTGCCCCACCCCAAATGCCCACCTCCGGCTGATGGTTGCGCGCCACCTCCGCGCGACAAAACATGCTGCCCCCCCCCCGCTCCAACGACGAGGCAGAACAG